CTTGCCTTCCCTCCCTGCCTGCCCTGCCCTGCCTTGCCTTGCCTTCCTTCCCTGCCTTGCCTTCCCTTGCCTCACCTTCCCTCTCTCCCTCCCTGCTTTCCCAGCCCCTGCCTGCCCCGCTGCTCCCCTTGCCAGCCCCCCTGCCTGCCCTGCCAGCCCGTCCCCCTGCCCACCTCCCCCCTTGCCAGCCTGTGCCCTCTCTCAGGTGTGGGGTGTCTGTGCCGAGTTTTCCGGCTCCTCTTCCCTTCAAAGTCTCCCGATCAAAGCTGGGCTCAGCCAAGCTCAGCTCCACATGCCAGGTGGGATTTTGGTCCTGTTAAGTTGGTCTGAACCTGGAGAGGAGGCGAAGTGTTGTCTCTGTGCTGAGGGACAGGTACCAGAGTGTGTTAAACACAGATCCCCCCCCTGCCTCCTGCTTCTCCCACTTCAGCATGAGCAAAAACTTCCAGAGCAGGGTGGGGGGACTTCCCTGCTCTGCCTTCACAGGTGGGGGTGGAAGGCTTGGGTTTAAATTGGGTTGGGAATGGAAGGCTTGGGTTTAAATTGTGACATCAAAAGCCAGGTGGGAAACTCTGGAAGTGCCTGTGCAGGGTTAATAAACGAGTTTCCACCTTCTCTGCTGCCTGTGAGTGTGGAACTCGCTGTTCCAGCAGAGCAGTTGCTGTGATGACCTTAAACCTGGGCTCCCCTGAGGCCTGGAGGCGCTGGAGATGCGTCTGTGTGCCTTGGAGACGTGTTTGTGTGTGTTTTTCCTGCTGGCTGATGATTCAGGGTGGGTTTGGAACCTGCTGTCGCTCTGCTTTGGGTTGTTTTGCTCCTCCGGTGTTGTTTTCCCGAGGTCTAATGCATTTGGAGTGTTTTGGAAACATTCTGGGGTTGAAATGACTCCTGGTTGGAGAAGGATGTGTGTGTAAAGGAACAGAGGAGACGTCTGTGGGTGTTGGAAACCAGCTGAGGAAGGAGAGACTGTAATAAAGGTACCAGAGGGTTGATACAATCACACCAACAACCCGTGGGTGAAGGTGTTTAAAAATAACCTGAGTGTCTAAAACACCAGGGCTGGATTCTGGGGAACTGAGCAGCTTTACACCCTCCTGGAGCTGTAGGTACTCAACACTTGCTTTTCTTTCCCCCAGCGAGTCAGAAGGATTGTTCAGCACCTCTGGATGTGGGTGCTGAGGAGAGGGGGGACTGGGGCTGTCCTTGGTGTTGGATTTCAGCAGGAACTCTGGCCCCAGTGATTGCTTCAGACAAGGGAATTTTGGCCTTTGATAACCCCAGAATATGAGTCAGGAGCTGCAAGAATTGGGGTGGTTGTTTTTTTTTGAGCTGGAGCTCTGCCTTGTGAGGGCAGGTTTCAGGTGTGTCTGGTGTGTTCAGCTTCACTCCACGAGGTTGCATAAAACAGAAAACCCCAGCCCTGAGCCTGTGGTTGCCTGGGCTTGGGTACAGGTCAGACAGGTTTGGAGAAAAACCTTCAGGAACCAGGAATGATTTTCTTCGAGCAACTTTGCTGCCAGTGACAGGAAAGTTCATTCAGCTTTGCCCTTCCCCTACAACCAATACCAATTTTTCACCCTGTGGTGCCATTTTCCAGGTGATCCATCAATATTCCTGGGCTTGGGAAAGGGTGTTACATTTTGCCTGGAGTGGAGAAGGCGAACTGAGATGCAAACAGCTCGTTCCAGGCCACCAAATAAATGAGGTTTTAAGGAGCTCTTTGCTCTGTAGCTGTGCTTTAAATCTGCTGCTCCCTGTTGTTGCACAAAGGTGAAGGTCTGTGTTGGTGCTGCTGGGCCTGAGTTACCCAAAAATAACCCAACTGAGCCGAAACCTGCAGCGTTTTGGCTGAGCAGAGGTGATGCTTGACTTTAAATCCTGCCAAAGTTAAGGCAGAGGGAGCACAACACACAGTGTGTGTGGGGGGGAGCAGCTCCTGATCTCCTGGGCTCCACCAGGGTGGAAATCGTTGCCCTGAGGGAATGGCACCTTCCTGGCACAGCTGTGGCTCATCCTGCTTCCTGATGGAAGATCTTCATTCCTTATTTTTCCTTAATTACTTATTTTTCTGCTGGGGGGGTGTTTAGAGCAGAGATTGTTGAAGCAGTTTTATATTTTATTGTTGTTTCCTCCCGGTGTCACCTCGGAGAAGGGATTTCTGAGGAGTGTCCAGGCTGGGGGGTTGTGGGGTGGGTGGCTTGTTTTCCTGCCTTCTCCTGGAGGCAGGGAATTGCTCCCTGACCCGTGGAGTGGGTTCAGCCCCCCCTGGCTGGAGGGCTCTGCCCTCCCTCAGATAAAGCTGGTTTCTGCCTGGCAGATAAGAGCAGCTCTCCAGCTTTTGGCTGTGGAAAACACAGCTGAGGTGTTCCCAGCAACAGGCTCCTCTCAGCAGCTGAAGAATGAAAGCTCTGTCCCTCCTTGCCAAGATTCCCTCTGTTCTGGGGCTCCTTCCCAGCTCTGTTCAAAAACACCAGGCTCCAGGAATAATCAGCTGCCTTTTTCTTGCAGGGCTTTGGGTTTAACCATTTCCCAGTGCCCTAATTCAGGTCAGATCGTCCAAAACCACGCGAAGAATTTGGATCTTTGTCCCGAGTTTTTATTGGCAGGCCTGGGGTTTCTCTCAGGGGGAGGAAGGGGGGGCGTTTCTTTGGAGCTGAGGAAGGCTGGAAGAAAATTAAACTCTTCCAGATACTGTAATTTAGGGAGTCTTTTAGGCAGTGATTCCCTAAAATAATTTCCTAAAAATAATTTCAATGGTTTCTGTCCAGGCCTTTAAGGGGAAGGGGAGCTCTGGACTGTTCACAGTTGATGGTTTGGGGTTGGATTTGATGAATGTGACTGAGGAGAGCTGGGGCTGCAGGGCACCTCTGGGCTTGATTTTTAACAGCTTAATCAAACTGGAAGGCAAAGATGGACCTCAAGGGCCCATCTGGTTGGAGTTCACCCCGTTCTGAGCGTTTCAGCCCTTTTTTTCCTGTGATTTCCTGTGATTTTCTGTGGTGCTTTTGCTCCAAGGGTGATTTTGAAGCTGCAGTAATCTCAGTTTTTAGCACATCTCTCTCTCTCTCTCTCTGTCAGACTCAATTGCTCAATTTAACAACAACAATTGAAGGGAAAACCTAATTGAGCAACTTCCCTGGGTCACTTCAGCCTGCCTGGGAAAATGTGTGAACCTTCCTGCAGGAGCTCCCTGGGTTTTCTTCTTCTTTGCTAATTTAATTACGGGCTTTCATTAGCCAGGTTAACGACATAATAAACCAGAAAAAAAAGGAGTTAGGAGCTGGATAACTGAGCAGTGAGGGGAGCTGGAATGTCTGAATGGAGTTGTACAAGGGGGCTTTACCTGACTGAAATGGAGATGATGCCCCAGAGGTGAACTGTGTGTCCTGTCAGTGAGCTGAGAGTGGGATGTGCTGCTCCAACAAACTCCCAATTACTCCGTTTAAAAAACCTTTAATTTTCTGTCTGCCTCTTGTTTTTTTTCTCCCCTCAGCCCTAATTTCTCCTGAATACAGTGAATTTTGTGAGCATCAGGGCCACAGCTTTGCCATTCCCTGTCACGGGACTATTTTGGTGATTCCTTCTGGGGTTGTCCAGGGGAAAAAAAAAAAGCAAATATTTCTCAGCAAATAGCTGCTGGTGCTGTTTGCTCTGCTTTGCTTTGCTTTGCTGGGGAGATGATAATTCCCTCAGAAACCTCAGGGCTCTGGGACAGGTCTAAATTCCACCAGGGAACATCACACAAACGTGTTTTCTGGCCGTCATGGAATTGTTGAGGTTGGAAAAATAACCCTCAAGATCAAGTCCAGCACTGCCAAGGCCACCCCTGAGCATGTCCCAGGTGCCTCATCCTGGATTTAAAATCCCTCCAGGAGTGTCACTCCACCTGTGCCAGGGCTGGACAACCCTTTCCACGGAGAAATTTTCCCAAATATTCCACCTAAACCTCCCCTGGCTGCTTCCTCAGGTCCTGCCCCTTGTTCCCTGGGAATTAAGCCTGACCCTCACCTGCTCCACCCTCCTCTCCTGGAATCCCAGGATTATTTGGGTTGGAAGGACCCAAATAATAAATTAACATCCAGTTCCAAGCCCCTGCCCCTTCCTTCTGTTCTTCTCCCTGCTGCTCCTGGGAGTTGGTGTTGCTCTGCCACGGGAAAAGTGGGAAAACACATGGAGGAGGGAATGTCAGGCAGACTTTTAAACAATTTAATTTTAATTTTAATTTGGAATTACTGAAAGAATCACCTGCAAACCTTGATTTTAATTGTTCACAGCCAAACTTTGGAGGTATTTGTGGTGGTTTTTCAGTTGTGCTGGTGGGTCCAGGAAAGTCACTGGCTCTTGTGCTGAGCAGTTTTAATTATGGGGAGATCGTTTGAAATGGAATTTTTTTTCTTCTAGTTGTGAAAATTTATAATTGTAAAAATACAGTTATAAGATTACAATTCGTGGTGGTTTGAAAAAACACAAGGATTTCTAAAAGGCCAATTTAAAGGGGTTGTTACAATTTGGTCTCATGTGAAAGGGAAGAAGAAGTTTTCAGACACAAAGAACTTGGTATTAGGGGGAGGGAAATATTTACAAATTTATTTACATATATATATATATAAAACAATTTAACTATTTCTTCTACAGATACAATAAAATAATATATTCCATTAGATAAGTCCCTCCTCTCTTCCAAAAAGAGTCCAAGAGAAAAAGGAGAAGAAGTCTTTTTTTTTCATTTTCAAGCTACAGTTCTTCTAAATTAATTTCTTTTGGTGCTGTTAAGTGTCTCTTATCTTCAAAAACCACCACACAATTATAAAAAATATCACTGTAAAGGGTGATTATAAAATATTATTATAAAATATTATTATAAAATAGTATTATAAAATAGTATTATAAAATAGTATTATAAAATAGTATTATAA